TTGGAAGTGGCTTCTCCCCCAGGACCTCCAGGGATGAACGAAACCTGGGGACACACGGTTGCTGTCTGTGGGGTGCAGAGAAGAGACCCAGTTTCATTCGACCACGTTTCTGCCCCAAGGAAACCATGAGATAGTAAGTGTCGATGCGTGTCTTCACGTGTAAGATCTGATTCCTTGCTCATATTCTCATCCCATCCATTTAACATTCCAGAACAGACGAACAGTCCAGAAGAAATACTCTTCAGAAAATGGTACGACAACCACTGCTAGAGCAAGAGACACTTTGTAAAGTCCTCCGTGAGGTTTTCCGTTACAACTTGCCCACAGAACACCGTCACATCCACGGGCACGTATGGGGCGCATTTCTTCCTCTGGCAGGTGTCACATGACTTAGGTATTTCCCCTGGTCTCTGTGAACCGAGGTCCGACCTGCTCTAACAGGGTCAGCCGCAGGAGTGAGGCTGGGAATGGCCATCACAAGTGCCGATTTCCTCAACTGGGTCCAAACTACAATGTTACCCTAGAAACATTTTCTGCCACAAAGAAGACTACTGGTAATTTATTTCCCATCTCATCTAGAGGATTTGTAACTTACATTGTACTTGTATTACATTTTACCCATCATTAACCCTTGCATTAAATAACGCTAGCTCCTTTTCCAGTCGGAGGAGTAGAGGCTGGATTGGAAAAGAAAAGGAATTCGGTAAAGACGGTAAAGACGAATATGATACATGCCCAAAGTAGAAGAAAATGTCTCAATTTTTTTCTTTTAACAGAATGAACTTCACAGTACATGAGGCTCCTAAGGAATTGTATATGATCATTATTTTATAAAATAAAACATTATATATACAATGCACAGAAAAATTATTAGAAGGGAAGACTTAAAAGGTACAAACCAAAATTCCAGCAGGAGTTATTGGCGGGTGGGGGACTCTGAGTGTCTTTTGTTTTACTGGGGATTCTGTATTTCCAAATTTTCTATAATAAATATGCATTGATTTGGAAATCTGAAAAAAATTTTGTTTGAGGTGAAAGTTTACCATCCTGGTTCCAGTTAAGTTTCTATCATTCTTACCAGAGAAGGATAAAAGAGAAACGTTCTCAGAGTTTACTTAAAGGGTCCTGGTTAGATGATGCTGTGAAGTGAAATTCATAATGACTTGGATTTACATGATAGTCTCGCCAGTCAGATTTCTCGGGAAGTCACTTTAGAAGAAAACTTATTGGCTTGTTTGAAAGCGAATGATCTGTTTACACTAAATCATATTCACTGGCTGTTAGACTAAGGAAAAACCTAAGTAATTCTCAGCATCTGAGAAACTGCCTAGTGGTGCATTTCTTCTAAGCTCCGCTTTCCTGGTCCAGGGAACCTCTCTGCCCTGCTGGATGCAGGATGGAGAGAGGGTCCCCGTCCGCAGCTCCCAGCACGTCCCTCCGGAAGGGCGGGGGCTGCACTTCTGGCCCCTTTTCCACTGAGGACAGATGAATCTAGGCTTCCCTGCGCTTCCACATGGAGCAGTGATGCTGGGAAGAAGCAGTGGTCCCTCCCAAGCGAAGCCATATTGAAGGCAACACCAACCCCAAACCCAGGTGTCTTGGAACGGGACAAAATCCTTTCAAAGTTTATCTGCAAAAATAAATGTGTAAGGATTGTCAAAAATTTTGAAAAATGAAAACATCTTGATAGGAATTTGTCTAACCGGGAATAATGGGATGCTGCAGGAGAAGGAGATAAATGAGGCGGAAGAAGGCATCCAGGTTGAGTGCAGATGGGTCCAGACACTAAAGAGAGGGCTTCTCACTTCCACGGGGAAGGTGGACTACTTAATAAATGAGGTGGCAACCAACAGGTGTATCGTTGGGATAAAATGACTTTGTTACCTGTCTCACTGTTTCCAAAAATATTTGTAGAAACTGAGAGTAAGGAAGGCTTTTAAAAGCAAGACAAAAGAAAATTTTGACAAATTCAGCTTCAGAAAAATTTGTGACCTCTACATTGCAAAAGACACAATAAAGAAATTTTTTTAAATGACAGACTGGATGAAATATATTTGAAACACACAGAACAAAGAATTAATCAGTATCTTCAGTAGGCAAAGAGCTCTTAACATTGCTAAGAAATATACAAATACCCCAGTATAAAAATGGGGAAAATATGTGAAAACCTAATGCAATGCACACAAGGGAAATTATATAATGGTCAAAACGGATGAAATGATGTACATTCCCACTGGTATTGAGAGGAATGCACATAGAAACAATTACTTGTTTTATTTGGATAAAACTGAATATACTGTTAGTATCTTGTATTGAAAACTTTGAGGAAATTGATGCAAGTGTGAATTACTCTAACTTGGGGGAAAGTAATCGTGAAGATCTATGAAGATTGAAAGTGCACAGCCAAGCCCTTTGCCCTATGGATGTCCTACAGAAATAAAGCCAACTGTACCTAACAATACTGGCACAAAGAGGCTTCCGGTAAACTGTCCGAAAAAGCCAAGGCTGGACATAACCTCAGGGTCTGCCGGGGGGGTAGCTGACGAACTCACGGTCTATCCATGGAAGAGGAGGACTTTCCTGACGAGAAGGAATCACGTCTATGTGCAGTGTCACAAAAGCCATCCACGATACACCATTGGGCGTATAAAATAGGGAGCTGCAGACTGACAGGCATGGCGTGATTTGATCTTTTCCTGTAAGCTTTTGTGTATGGATAGAAAGCAAAGGTGGCGGCTGCTCAGGTATCAGCCTTGAGGTGGTGTTGGGGGTTTTCCATGGTCCCTATATTGATGCAAGAGCATGTGTTACAGATATAATAATGAAGAAGAAGTGAGGTATTAATCTCAACCGACTCTCAACTTTACATGGATAACAAGCCCAGCTTCCCGGCATGGAGCAGGGCGTGGTGGGCCGTCACCTGGTGGGCCTGGCGATAGCACAGATGACCAAGCCAAAGAGGATTTTTCTCAACACTTGAAATCTAAGGAATTTGCCCTGCTGGGTTTCAGATTTGCTCAGGACTGGTGACCCTTTTTTCCTTCTGATTTCTTCCTGCTGGAATGGGTATGTCTAGCCTATGCCTGTCCCGTCAATGTATTTTGGAAGCAAATAACTTGCCTGGTTTCACAGGTCCACAGATGGAGTGGAATTTTGTCCAGGATGAATCAATTATACCCTGAGTCTCAGCCATCTCTGATTTGGATGATTTAGGTGGTGAGATTTGGGACTTAGAGCTGATGCTTGAACTGGGGCAAGTTGTGATGTGGTGACAGAAGAGCGTGGATTTTGGAGGGCTAGAAGGCAGACTGCTGTGGGTTAAATTTTGTCCCTTCAAAATAGATGAGCAGTTGACCCTTGAACAACATGGCTTTGAACAGGGCGGGTTCACTTATACGTGCGTTTTTTCCAATATACAGTTGGCCCTCCGGATTTATGGGTCTCACATCCAAGAATTCACCCAAACTTGGACTGAAATTTCTATCAGTGGTTTGTTGAATCCTCGGATCCAGATCCCACAGATATGGATGGCTACCTATGGGACTCGAGCATCCATGGATTTTGGTAAACGTAGGGGCTCCTGGAACAAATCCCCCACGGATACTGAGGGACGACTGCATTGGAGCCGTAATTCCCAGAATGTCAGAATGTGACCTTATTTGGAGACAGGGTGTTTCAGAAGCCATCAACTTAAAGTGAGGTCATGGGGGCTTCCCTGGTGGCACAGTGGTTAAGAATCCGCCTGCCAATGCAAGGGATACGGGTTCGAGCCCTGGTCCGGGAAGATCCCACCTGCCGCGGAGCAACTAAGCCCGTGTGCCGCAACTACTGAGCCTGTGCTCTAGATCCTGTGAGCCACAACTACCGAAGCCCAAGTGCCACAACTACTGAAGCCTGCGCACCTAGAGCCCGTGCTCCACAACAAGAGAAGCCACCGCAATGAGAAGTCCACGCACAGCAATGAAGAGTAGCCCCCGCTCACCGCAACTAGAGAAAGCCAGTGCGCGGCAACGAAGACCCAACGCAGCCAAAAATAAATTATAAAATAAAATAAAAAATTTTGGATTAGGGTGTGTACTAATCCAATACCCGTGGTGGACTTGTAAAAAGGGGAAATTTGTGCACAGAGACAGGCACAGAGGGAAGATGATGTGAAGAGACACAGGGAGAAGATCACCACCTGCAAGCCAAGGAGCCAGGCCTGGAACAGATCCCACCACCCTCAGATCCCAGCCCACCCTGCCAACACTTGATTTCAGACTTCCAGCCTCCAGAACAGTGAGACATGCTTCTAATTCTTAAGCCGCTTGTTTTGTGATACTTTGCTGTGGCAGCCGTAGTAAGTGAAAACACCCACCATAACACTGCAAGTAAATTCCCTGTTTCTCCACCTTCTGTGAGAAGACGACTTTTCATGGCTGCATACAATTTCATCACGGAGACAGAGTGTACTCTTAAAGTGTGTTCTTACCCTGGGTGATGACCTTTATAATGGGCCATGTTCTGCTTTTGTGATTTTGAGGTGAAAAGTCATGTGCGTGTGTGCAGTGCTCCTGGGGCAGAGTGTCACTTACCTTAGCATCTAACTGACTCAACACCGACTCAACATGAGTCAGCCTGACTTTCGGGAGCTTAATTGAAACCTAATGTTAGGAGAGGCTGTCAAAAGGACATTCAGACTCAACGGAGCCCACATGCTCCAACTGGCACAGAAAATAAAGAGACTTGTCTTATTTTTGTATATTAGTTCAGATGTTAGTTGTAAAGAAGGGCGAGAAGAATGATTGTAGTTTTTGCAAGTAAGATAAGTAAAAATGAGATACGTGAATGGCTATAATTGTTAGTAATCTTAAGTGAAACCATTTTAGTTTACATTGTGTTACACATTATTTAAAAATATTCCATCACAGGTGAATTATTTTTCAAAGTAATTTGAGTTAAGAAGAGAATACAGCTATTTTTCAGATAGATACAACAACTCTAGTAAGCGTCTAACCTACCTCTGTACAGATGAACTCAGGCTGGCAACTGGTTGCTGTGAGAATAAATACAAATCAGTAAAATTGTAAAGGAAGAAATTGTTGATGTTGAGGTTACTTGTTCAGAAAATTCAAGTCTGTTAGAGTTGATTTCAAGCAATGGTGTCTCAGGGGCTTCTGAGGCCTGGGAAAGGATCTCACTGGTGGGAGAGCATCTTTCCTCCCAACCCATGTTACATGTACAGAGGTGGCTTCATTTCTCCTAGTCAGGAATGGGACTGCTGGGTCAAATGATAAGAATATATTTAAGTTTTAAAGAAACTGCCAATTAAATTCCCATGTATTAAGACATCCAACTCCTCTACAGGTTCACCAACACTTGGTATTGTCAGCCTTTTTAATTTTAGCCACTCTGATGCATGTGTAGTGGGGTCTTATTTTAGTTTTAATTTTCATTCCCCTAATGCCTAACGATGTTGGCCATCTTTTCATGTGCATATTTGCCACCCATATATCTTTTTTGGGGCGGTTTGTTCAAGTCTTTTGCCCATTTAAAAAACTGGGTCATTTTTCTTATAATTGAGTTTTGAAAATTCTTTATATATTCTGGATACAAGTATATGGTTTGGAAGTATTTATTCCAGTCTGTGGCTTATATCTTTATTTTTGTAGTGGTGACTTCTGAAGGGCAAATATGTTAAATTTTGATGAAGTCCAATTTTTCATATTTTTCTTTAATAGTGCTTTGGTGTCATATTAAAGAAAACTTTGCCTAACTCAAGGTCACAAAGATTTTATTCTGTTTGCTTCCTAAAGTGTTGTAGTTTAGTCCTGAAATTTAGGTCCAGGATTGATTTTCAGTTATTTTTTTGTATGCTGTGAAGTAGGACATTAAGTTCTTTTTTTTTTTTTTTCCCTTGTGGTTATCCAATTGTTCCAGTATCATTTACTGAAAACACATTTCTCCCCATTGAATTGCCTTGGCACATTTGTTTAAAATCCATTTACCATAAATGTAAAGGTTTTATTTCTGGAGTTTCTATTCTGTTTCATTGATCTCTATGTCTATCCTTATGCTGGCAACCATACAGTAGCTTTGTAGTGAAATTTGAAGTCAGATTGTCTAAATCCTCCAATTTGGTTCTTCTTCTTCTAAATGATTTTGGCCACTCTAAGTCCTCTGAATTTCCACATACAGCGTGCTATTTCTTTAAAGAAAAAATCTTGCTGGGAATTCAATGGGGATCATGTACGTTTGTAGATCAATTTTCTATCATGACAATACTGAGTGTTCCAATCCATAAATATTGTAAATCTTTCCATTTATTTGGATTGTGTCTAATTTCTCTCAGCAATAGTTTGTAGCTTCACATATACAGATTTTTGTGCTTGTTTCGTTATTTTATTATTTTTTGATTCTACCATGAATGGAATAGTTTTCTTAAGAGCATTTTCAGAATTTTCACTGCTAGTATACGGAAATGGAATTCAGTTTTTAACACTGATTTTATATCCTACCACCTTGCTAAGCTATCTTATTATTTCTACGAGCGTTTCTGCAGATCTGTTAGGATCATGTTTCCTGCAAATAAACACCGTTTCATTTTCAAATCTATACGCCTTTAACTTATATTTCTTGCTTTACTGCACTGGCTGGAACTTCAGTAAAATGTCAAATAGAAGTTTGGAATGGACATTCTTGTCTTGGTCCCAATCTTAAGAGGAAAGCCTTCAGTATGCATTAAGTATGAATTAGTTGTAAGTTTCAACAGTGTTCTTTATCAGATTTAGGGTGTTTTCCCCTCTAGGTTGGGAAATTGTTTTATCATAACTAGATGTGTTACTAGCAAATGCTTTTTCTGATTGATTGATGTGCTTGTATGTTTACTGTATTTTATTAATATGTTTATTACATCAATACGTTTTCAGATGTTAAACCAACCTTGCATTCCGGGACTAAACCTCACTTAGTCACAGTGTATAGTTCTGTATACATGTGACTGCATTTGGTTTGCTAATATTTTGTTAATGATTTTTGCCTCTATTCACGAGTGATATTGGCTTATGATACTCTTTTTTTTTTTAATGATACTCTTTTTTGATGACATTATCTGGCTTTAGTATTATGTACTAGCCTCACAGAAATGAGTTGGGAAGTATTTCTTCCTCCTCTATTTTCTGAAAGTTTGTGCATAATTGATTTGGGGTTTTTTTTCCCCTTAAAATAACAGTTAGAATTCACCAATGAGGCCATTAGGGCCTAGGATTTTCTTTGTGGAGAATTTAAAATTACTAGTTCAGTGTCTCTTCTTTTTTCTTTTCTTTTTTTTTTTTTTTAAATGTTGAGCCTTCTTTTAATTAATTTATTTTTATTTTTGGCTGTGTTGGGTCTTCGTTTCTGTGCAAGGGCTTTCTCTAGTTGTGGCAAGCGGGGGCCACTCTTCATCACGGTGCACGGGCCTCTCACTGTCGTGGCCTCTCTTGTTGCGGAGCACAGGCTCCAGATGCGCAGGCTCAGTAGTTGTGGCTCACGGGCCTAGTTGCTCCACGGCATGTGGGATCTTCCCGGACCAGGGCTTGAACCCGTGTCCCCTGCATTGGCAGGCAGACTCTCAACCATTGCGCCACCAGGGAAGCCCCCTAGTTCAGTGTCTTTACTTGTTATATGACCATCTGAATGTTCCATTTCTTCTTGAATCGGTTTTGGTAATTTGTACCAACTAAGTAGAATGGTAAATCCCTTTCTTTAATAATAAAGCATATTTCAACCTTAGAACACTTACAATTAAGTATAGAAAAGTTTAAGAGACCCAAACCCATAATGTTATATTTTTGCATTAGAAAGTCACCTGTGCATTGGTAATTTGGTATTTCATGTTCTTAAATGCCAAAGACAATGTGTTCTCCAGTGCAGGAGAGAGAAAGGTTTCAAATCTCAGAGTCTTAGAAGATCTGCCTGCTCTTAGGAGTTGAGCTTGGCCTCGTTCTCTCCTGTTGGCCACCAAATGGATATAATAATGTGTCCAGGAGACTCTTAGTGAGATTTAACATAATGATCAATGACAAGTGTCCGTCAGAGTGGTGACCACATGGTCAGGACTGGCAGCAGGTGTCAAATGGGACTGTCACAGGCAAACTGGAACATAGGGTCACCCTGGCTTCAATGACAGCAAAGAAAAACCCACAGACGCCTGCTCCTGGCTTGCAGTGAAGTTCACCTTTGGTGGTTGAGTCTGGGGGGGGTGGGCAGGATGATACTTTCCATGAAACGTGCTTCCGAACTTCTAGTAGAAGTTGCTAGCGCAAGTGCAAGCAAGGAAAAGGACTGATGACAACCTCACTGCTGCTAAAGGTGGGTGCTGACCCTCTTGCTATTTCTAAATTATTACAAGGATCCCCCTTCTCTGACGCCCTTCAGGGTTTGTGGTGAGATGAAGCTCCTCCACAGAGAAAATAAAGTCACCAGCAACCTTCAGAAACTGGCATAGTAGCAATGCCTGCTCACAAGTAGCCCACCAGAAACCCCCGGAGCATCTGACCTCTGGGAGGGCCTACAATGAGTCAGCCCTGCGGGCTTGATCCTGTGGAGTTATGGAAATGATATAGCACACTCACATATCACACACGCATCATACACACACATGACACAAACATCACACACATCACACACGCATCATACTCACACACGCATCACACACACACGACACAAACATCACACACATCACACATCACACACACACATCACACACATCACACATGCATCACACACACAGACTCACACACACACAATACAAGCCCCACAGTTAGTTCTGTCCCTCACTTTCTCTTCTATTCCTCACCTACCTTTGTTCCCATGTGAGGGGCATCCCTGGGAGCCACATCAATGCTTCAATTCATCAAACAAGCAATTCCAAATACTGCTCTGCCCTCATTCTTGGAGGGCCTTAGACCCACCTTCGGCTCTGACCCCCGTCGTGAGTCTCACGCTGGTGGCCGTGGGCTTACCTTTGATGACGACGTGTCCTCTGGCTTTACGGTGGCGGAGCACAGACTCAGGTGCATGGAAGTTGGCAGGAACTCCTTGGGCTTCTTGCTGCTAGGATGGGGCAGGGGGAGGGAAGACTGAGGTCAGCGAGGAGGGAGCTGGCTGGGGGCAGGAGCGCATGCGGGGCGGGTAAGGCTGCAAAGTCTCACACCAGCGTCAATGCTGCCGTTTCCTCCTTAGAGCAGCAGCCCTGGGAGGCCGTGGGAACGCTCGATGTAAAGCAGCCTGCAGGGGCTGTGCATGTAAAGGACCATGACTGCTTGCCGGTGGGATGCCAGGAAGGCGGGCTTCGCCCCACTGAGCCCCCCCCCCACGGACAGCTACACTTGCCAGTTTGTGAGCAGCAGCGGTGCAGGGGGTCTTTACAAGCGCACAGTGACGTGCCTCGGGGCCACAACATTGCCACTCTGTGGCACTTTCCCGCAGAGGCTCCAGGAAACGAATACGGGAGGCTTGTCTTTGATGCCCAGGTAGGTCAGTGTCATCACACGGACCTCCACAAACCGAGGAACATGGAAGAGGGAAGTCGGGGAGGTTTGAAGCACGAGGAGGACTCGGCCCTCCACTACCGACTTAGAGATGGAGCGTGAGGACGGGACGGGCTCTGTCAACATTCCAGACCCACCGTCTGCAGAGGACGCAGCCCCAGGAGCCCTGGCGGCTCCGTGTGAAATGCCAAGCAGAGCCCGATGCGCCCGCAGGCGTGTGACTGCGGGGACCGAGTTCACGCATCGTCTTTGCCACTAAGTCTGTGGGGATTTGCTGTGTAGCAATAGGAACTGGCACAGGCCACGCCTCTAAAATCAGACAGGAAGTGTCTGCCTGTGTGTGGTCCTGCCCCCACTTGTATGTTCATCCTAGCTGGTCAATTTCTATCGATATAATCCATTCTATTTACTGTTCCACGGCAGGCAAACAGTCCAGAAGACAAGAAGCACTCCCAGTAAACTGGTCTGATAACTGCTACTAGAGACACACTTTACAAAGTCCCACAGTGTTTTCCACCAAAACACGCCTGTGAGACACTTCAGTGTCTTGTGATTTAAACATATTCCCGGGTTTCTAGGACCTACTCCAGCAAACTTTCCCCCAAATCGGGCTGTGTCTACTCGTCAACTGTTAGGTTGACTCCCAGGTCACCCCAGGAACATTTCTGCAGCAAAAAAAGGTCATTGGTGTTTTATTGCCCATTGGGTCTGGAGGGCTTGTAAACTTGTATTTTGTTGTATCACCCTTCTCACACAATCAACCCTTTCAATAAAGGGATGCAGAAGTAAAGATTAGATTGAAAATAAAGAATAGTATTCCAAAAATGAGGAAGACGGCACATTCCAAAGATGGCATGATTTATATTCATAAAAATCATTATTTTTTCTGTTAACAATGTTCACAATATATGGAGTTTTTAAAAAAGACTTCTAAAGAGTTCTACAATATGATTATAATTTTAGAAAAAAACCCATCACGGGCTTCCCTGGTGGCGCAGTGGTTGAGAGTCCGCCTGCCGATTCAGGGGACACGGGTTCGTGCCCCGGTCCGGGAAGATCCCACATGCTGCGGAGCGGCTGGGCCAGTGAGCCATGGCCGCTGAGCCTGTGCGTCCGGAGCCTGTGCTCCGCAACGGGAGAGGCCACAACAGTGAGAGGCCCGCGTACCGCAAAAAAAAAAAAAGAAAAAGAAAAAGAAAAAAACCCATCATGTATATAATGCACACAAAAAATATTTAAAAGGAAGACCTAAAAGATACTAATCAAAATGCCAACAGTGGCACTTGGTGGAGGTGGGCAAGAAGGGATGTTCGTATTCACACTGGGAAGTTTTGCAGTTTCCAAATTTTCTATAATGAATATGCATTGATTAGGCAATCTGAAAAAAAACTAGGTTTTTGTCTTGTTTAGGTTTGGTTTTTAAGCATACCATGCTGATTCCAGTTAGGTTTCTATCATTCTTACCAGAAAGCAATAAAAGAAAAAATATTCTTAGATTTTATTTAAAGGACCATAGACACTTGAAAGTGAAATTCAAAATGACTTAGATTTTCACAATACTAGTGCCAATCAGGTTTCTAATAAGTTTAGAAGAAAAAAAATAGTGGGCTATTTGAAAAGGAATGTTCTTTCACACTAAACTCTAATGCCCTGATTATTAAACTAAGCAAAAATCTGCAGCAATTCTCAGCTTTGGGGGAATTGACTAATGGTGCACTTCTCCTTTTCTGAGTCTCTCTGCCAGTTGAGCTGTGGCAAGGGAGACGTGAAGCCCTCCAGGACCCCTGGGCCAGTCTTCCCTGCCAGGAACACTGGAGCTTCCCCTGCAGGTTTCAGGGAAGAAGGAGCCTACTAGGGTGTCCCCGGCACTTCCAGCCCACCTCCCCACCCGCAGACTGGCTTCCTGGTTTGTTCCCCACACAGACGCTGAGCTGTGAAGGTGGGGAGGCAGCCTTTGTCCCACCCACGTAAAGTGCACACCTAACGTAACTCCAGTTCAGACTCCAGGTTTCTTGGAACTGCACAAAATGATCTTCAAGTTTATATGGAAAAATAAATACAGGAAAGAATTGTCAAAATAATGAAAAACAAAAAAGAGAGGCATTCACCTACTAGATATTAAAAGGTAGCTAAATGAAGTCCTATCGTTAAAACAGCACAGTGCCCTTAGTACATCAGCAGAGGGACAGACTGGTGTCCAGAAGCAGACGAGCCCAGAGCTTGCGGAAGCTCCGGGTATCAGGAAAACGGCCTTTCGATTTGATGAGGAAAAGCGGGCCATTTAATTAATGAGGTGGTAACCAACAGCTAGGCTGTAATAAAATAACCTTGGCTATTTCAGTAAATACAAAAATAAATAGAAGATGGTTTAAAAACCAAGTGTAAAGAAAGCAAGTAAAAATTACGAAAATATTAGGAAAGCATATGGAGGATGTTCCTTGGGCTGAGAAAGACATTTTAAAGTAAGCCAGTTAAGAGGAGAATATAGCTGCTCTAGGCAGATGACGACTTACCCCTGCACAGGTGATCTCAGGTGGTTATCCAGCTGCTGTGGGAGACAAAGGAAAGTTATAAAATGAAAGCAAGTTGTTGACACTTTCAGTCGATTTGGAGCAGTGGCACCTCAGAGTCTCCTGGGTCCTGGGAAGGGACCTCACAGGAGGGGAGGGGGGCACCCTTCCCCGCACCCTTACACATGTGTGCGCGTTTCCACTTCTCTTTGGCAAGAGACAGGGAGCGGGGTGACTGGGTCACTGAGACGTATATATTTCACTTTTTAAGAAAATGTCAAACCTCTTCGCAAAGTGATGTAGTTTCACATCCCCACCAGCAATGTGTGAGCCCGCCATCTACAGCCTCGCCGACACTTGCGGCTGGTCTCTCTGATTATGGCCACTCTAATGGACATGTGTGATGTCTCACTGTGGTTTCATGTTTCCTTTACGACGAATTATGTTGACCCTCTTTTCATCCGCCACCCATAGATCCCCTTTGGTGCAGTGTGTTCAAATCTTTTGCCCATTTAAAAATCTGGGTCGATTTTCTTATAATTGAGTTTTGAAAGTTCTATACATTTTCTGGGTACAAGTATATGATTTGCAAATAATTATTTGTGTCTGTGGCTTATATTTTCATTTTCTTAACGGTGACCTTTGAAGAGTGAATGTTAACTTTGATGAGCACCAGCTGCAGACACGGGCGGCCTGAAGGGAGTCGGCCCTGCTGGCTTGATCTGTGGAGAGTGCGCTCGGAAATGATACAACACACACACGCACACTACGTGCCAAACTCACTCACATGCACATACAGCCACACACACACGCCAACACAGAAGCGAAGGACTGTGGCTAAGGGGTCCTAGCTGCAAGGTGACCTTGGGTCTTGCCCCAGCCCTGCATGAACCTGGATGGTGAAGCAGAGAGACGTCCAGTACCTGTGACAACCCTTTTCTTTGTGGGGTCACATCTCTCTTCACTGCCAGGGGCTTCGAGCTCCGCTGTTTGTCGTTTTGCATTATGTACTCAAATGTGCTCAACTTCTTGGCCCCTAGAAAGGAGGAAGGAGGCAAGGGGCAGAGTCACCCTCCTTCAGCTGCAGAGCAGCCCGCCCTCCGTGGTCCGGGGCGTTGGGGGCTGGTTCCCAGGCCACTCCAAGCCCGGCTGGCCTTGGGCCGCGGCCAGCAGTGGCCCACCAGCCCTGTCCCGGGCAGGGGAGCCACGGCCCTGTGTCCCTCACAGGCCCGTAAAGCCAAGGTGGACGGGGGAGTGCTAAGCCCAGCTCCGTTTTAATTAAGGTGAGACACCAGCTCTCACACGTGGCAGAAGGACCCCAGGTTGTTAGAAGAAACTCTCAAACATGTTTGTCAATAGAAAAGCACTATTAACGAAAGCATGCTCTGTGCCCGCTTCACTCGTGTGCCTTCGCAGAGGGGCCAAACGTTCCCTGAAAACTAACAGACGTGAGAACAGAGGGTTGACCATCATTTCTGAAAAGCGAAAAGGGCCACCCACAGAAGCCTATGTGCCGCTCGAGGAGCAGACGGAGGGCCGCCTGCCCTCACAAGGCCCCACAAGGCCCCACAGGGCCCCACAAGGCCTCATAAGGCCCTCACAAGGCCCCACAAGGGCCCACAAGGGCCCACAAGGGCCCTGCAAGGCCCCACAAGGCCCCGCAAGGGCCCCGCAAGGTCCCTGCAAGGCCCCCGCAAGGGCCCACGAGGCCCCATGAGGCCCCACGAGGCCCCACAAGGGCCCACTAGGGCCAACAAGGCCCCGCGAGGCCTCACGAGGCCCCACGAGGCCCCACAAGGGCCCACTAGGGCCCACGAGGCCCCACGAGGCCCCACAAGGCCCCACAAGGCCCGCTCGGCTGCTGCCCCGCGGGGGCCTGAGGCTCAGGACGCCTTCCCCGTCCCCTTCCCTGGGGGCTCCTACAAGGGCTTTGGCTTCGTTTGCCTTATCTTTCTTGAGTAACTGCACACGTTCCCTCAGAACCTGTGTCACACTTTGAGGATGTAAACTTGACCCTGTTTGTATTCTCATGAAAATATTCATTCTTCTGTGTGGGTTTGCACAAACACCACCAAATCCAGACTGTGAGATGCCCCTGCGTGCTTCCGGCGCCCACCCTCTTCTGACTGCACTTGGCGTGAGGTGTGTTGATCGGACCGCAGTGACGAAGCGGAGGAGGGGACACGGACGCAGAGCCCCACGCACCCCGCGGCCTGGGAGCTGTGGCCGGAGCCCAGCCGTGCTGGGGAAGGTCCACCTGTGTCCACCGCCTTGCAGTGCCCACCCGCCGGCTTGGGCAGCCGGAGGATCCTCTTCCTCAGCACCTTCCACGGCGCTTTCTCTCCCACTTGCGGCGCCCGGCTCTTCCTTGAGCCTCCAGCCCGAGGGTTTCACTCGATCTCATGCTGAGCGCTCGCCACTGCGCTGAGCCTAGACTGAATTCTGACTCGCCACTGCGCTGAGTCTGACCCCACAGAAACTGAGAGGTCGCAAGGATGTTAAGTAGATACGTTCTAGGGTACTTTTACTGTAACTAACAATAGCTAAATCCCAACGTTTTCCTGGAAATCCATTCTTGGAGGTTCAAAGACCCTAAAATAAACCCACTCGGTCCTGAGTCCAGCATGTCTCCCCCTGTACAGGCCTCCTGTGTGTCCTCACCCTCGGTGACGGTGGCATCACCAGCCCCTGGACACTTCTGTCCTTACATGTCCAGCCGGCCTCCAAGTCCTGTGGGCCTGACTTCTCCAGGCCCCTCCTCACTCCTGCGGACTCACCGCGTCCCCAACAGCTGCAGAAGCGCACAGAGCAGCGCTTGGGCGCGCTCCACCTGGACAGACGCAGCGGCCCCCGACACACACCCCGGCCCCGAGCCCAGGGCCCTGCGGGCCCCGCCGTGCACGCTGAGGGAGCCCTCTGGGGCTTCCAGGGCGGGTTCTGCCCTCGTCTCTGGCTCAGCGCGGGATGGTGGGCGCCAGAGCACCGGCACGGCCACCACAGGCCCCTCGCCTTCCCTTCGGGGCCGCAGAGCTTGGTGATGGTTGTGGCTTCCGAACAAAATCTTCACAGGGTGCAGGACAGGCCTCCTCCCCTCGTTTTAAAGGCAGATGGAGCCTGCCCCAGGCAGCTGCCGTGTGGACACGAGAAAACCACCCGTTCTCCCTCAAGCGAGTTTGGTTAGTGGAGACCCCATCGCTGAGTTCAATGCTCTTCATTGTTAGGATTTCTGGTTTTTGCTTCTCTAAATCTCCCTGTTCTTTTCCACAGTGTCCTGTTCCTGCCTCATAGATTCTATTCCTTTCTATCTCTGAACACCTTAACTGACCACTTTTTGAACCTCCTTGATGTTTTCCACAGGCCTTGGAATAGGACTCAGCCCTCTGCCCCTCGTGGGGTGTTTCTTCTCTTCCTGTCACTTGTCCTTTGTGCTCTGAGCTTGTTTCTGGCGGAGGCTGCCTGCCCGGGGACCCACGTGAACACAGGGCAAAGGCTGGCCAACACGGGGGGCACGCACTCAAGTAGAGGTGGAAAAGGAGCAGGTGGCCGAGCAACAGCAGGCTGACGAGCTCAAGCAGCAGCGTCAGCGCCCCGATGCCCAGGAAGACCGGCGTGCTCGTCCTCACGGGGAAAAGCGGAAGGAGCAGGAGCCACGTGTTCTGGTCGGAGATACCTGTGGAGAGGGGGAGAGGCACACGCGTCCAGCTCCTGTGGACAAGGTAGCACCTCTCGTCAGGTGAGTACCTGGGGACGGAGCTTGGCAGTGGGGGAGGGAACACCAGCCTGAGGGAGTGACTCCCTGCCCAGGTGAGCCCCTCCCTGCCCGGGTGAGCCCCTCCCTGCCCGGGTGAGCACCTCCCTGCCCAGGTGAGCCCCTCCCTGCCCAGGTGAGCACCTCCCTGCCCAGGTGAGCCTTTCCCTGCCCAGGTGAGCACCTCCCCCGCCCAGGTGAGCCCCTCCCTGCCCAGGTGAGCCCTTCCTCCTTGCCCAGGTGTGCTCTGCCTGACCTAAGTACCCTTGCAGCCCCTCCTGACTGCGGTGGGTATCACGACCCACTTTATGGATCTGAGAGGTAAAGCTGGGAGAGGGTAACTAGGTGCCCAGGTCACAGAGCCTGACCCCAGCGTCCACTGCGCTGCCCCGCTGGGCCCTCCCCACTCTAACTAGAGCTGGAAGGTCAGAGCCACCACCTGGGGCATTTCCAGGATACAGTCCTCTGTGACCCAAGGGGACCTGACACCACAGCCACGCAGCTTCCAACAATTAAGTGAAGAAAAACAGAGAAGGGTCGTGTGCTGGCCAGTGAAGACCGAATTCCAGCTCAAGCGTCTTCACCCCACAACTCAGCCTGGACAGCTGCTCGACTCCGGGCTGCCCTACGTGGCCCCCCAGAGGGAAGGGGGCGGGAGGGGAGGCCCAGGCCTGGGCGCGGGGCAGCACACACTCCTGTAGTGTGGGTCGGTGCGCAGCCCGGCGGGGTTGATGAAGTACTGGGTGAAGATGTACAGCAGCGTGGCGACCATGCACAGCAGTCCGGCAGCAGCTGAGGCCACTGAGGTGAAGAAGTACCTGTGGGAGGAGAGCCTGCTCGGGCGGCTGCACAGCCCGGGCCCGGGGAGCCAGGCGGCACGCGTGCCGGGGCCCAGGGCAGCGTGCGCGACCCGGGGTCGCCCCTGCTGAGGGTGTGCCCCGGCCGCCGTCCCGCAGCCCTTCCCCCTCTGGCTCCCAGCCTTTGGGCTTCTCTCTCCTGCTCTCGGGGTGACCGCACAGACCCACGTCTCCACAACACGCACCTGAGATCTCACTCGGTCCTACAGGAGGCCTGAGGAGGGCCCTAACCCTAACGCTAAGCACCCCAGCTCGCAAGAGGGAGACGGAGGCTCAGACACAGGGTGCGACTGGTCCAAGCCAGTCCCTCCCGGGCCCCCTGGTTCAGACCCGGCTCCCTCCCAGCCACCGCCAAGGGCACAGCCGGCCGGGGTACTGATGCCAGCGCCGAGGAGCAGGGCCACACTGCCTTCGAAAGGCACACCCGTCAGGGCTGCGTGCTTCGGTTTTAGACCCAAATCACTGCTGCGCTCTGCGCACAAAAGACACGGAGAATGGCCTTCCCGTCAGAACAAATAAAGCCTGGGTGGCAATTCCTGGAATACGGTTCCACTAAAACGCCTTCCCTTAGTCTTTCCGCTGTTATACCTTTAACATTTTCAGTGTTAAACAGTGTCTGTAGTTCACCTGAAGTCCCCTTATGCCTGCCCTGAGGTCCTCCCCCAGTGCCCCGGATAACCCCGCACAGGCCCCCCCACCCCCCGTCCTGCCGACCCTGCCCGGTGGACATGGGGAGGCGCCTGCCAGGAGAGCCCTCTCAGCCAGCTCTGCGCGCTCGGAGCCGCTGTCGGGACTTCCGGCCCCCTCGGTGCTCCGCACGGCAGGGCCACACCTCTCACCCGTCCCCACGGCAGGTGGACCTTGAGGTGCTCCGCCAGTTAGGAGGCCCCTTAAGGAGGCACGTCCCGGAGGAGGCAGGAGCGAGCCGCGTGAGGGTTGAGTGCCGCCCCAGGCCCGACGTCCCGGGTGGGGAGAACCCTCACCAGTAATTCCTGCTCCCCACGCAGTTGTTAAGCCACTTGCAGTGATGGTCGAAGCCTGAGACACACTTGTTGCAGGTGCTACAATGCTTGGCTTTCACAGTCCTGGAAGGAAGGTTGGGAGGGGCAGCCTGTCAGAGCCCCTGCCTGCCTACAGGGCCAACCCCACGCGGTGGGTGCCTGCCCGGGCGGGCGCGGCGGCCACAAGGCGCCAGGGCCTGAGGCCCGGAGGCTGAGTCAGATCCCTCCTGGCCGCCTACTGACACCCCTGGGGCCCTGAGCAGCCCCGGGCTGTGATCCGGTCGGGGGGCAGAGGCCTGTGTGAGACCCAAGGCTACAGCGCTCCTGCCCCGGCCTGGCGGGGGGCTGCGTGTCGGGGCCCCTGCTTCTCTGCAAAAGGGGCGGTGCCCATCGGCTGCTGGGGACCAGGTACGCCTGAGCCCAGCCCACCCCTGCGGGACGGCGTGGGGGGCCCCTCACACAGCCGGGCACTCACACGGCGACCTCGCACAGGTGACAGTACTGCCTCTGGATGACGTGTGCGTGTTTGGACCGGTCGAAGGTCGGCACAGTCCGTGAGTAGTTCTTGAGGCGGACGTTGGCGTCGGCCGGATCGATGGAAAGAACAATCAGGTGGACCAAGAGGTGGAAGAGGCAAATCCCGCCGGTCACCTGGGGGGAGTCAAGGGACAGCTCGGCCTGTGTGGCACGCGTGAGGGGCCTCTGCTCCAGGCGGCTAGGTGTCCAGGCCCCAGGCAGCCACGGGAGCCTGTGCCTGGCCGGGAATGGGAGTGGCCCCTCTGGCACCGGCGTGCCCAGCAGAACCCACCCGAGTCCTTTGTCCTTGAGGGACAGAGCAGGGTCCGCTGGAGGCCGTGGCCCCGCAACCCCAGTGGAGCTTCACCGGGACAGCGGGAGAGGCCTGTGTGCGTCCGCGGGCACCAAGCCTGGTGCCGAAGCCGGGTGGTGGAGCTCCTTGGGGCAGGGAGGCCACACTGAGCATGTGTGCCATCAGGAGAAGGAGGGAGGGAGGGCTCCAATACCCCCAGCGAGCCTTTGTGGTGAGTGGGCCGGGGCTGTCTGTCGGTCTGTCTCTGTCTCGCTCTCTCCCCCCAGCCAGGAACCCCCAGGCCTACGCCCTCCAGAGCTCCCAGGGTAAAATCTGTTCCTCACATCCCACCCTCTCCACCTCCTCTTCAGGGACTGACACACTGTCCCCATGGAAACCAAACAGAAGGGGAGGAAGTGTCGGCCTGGCCTCCCCATCAGCCCTGCCCTGCTTCCCAGGAAGGTTCTGAGCCGGGAGGGTTCGGGTTCACAGGTCCAGCTCCTGCGAGGGCGGCCTGGGCGTGGTGGGGAGATGCCTCTCTCTGCCCACCCACAGGGTCTCGTGGCAAGGCCACGTGTGCACAGGGTCTACGGTGCCTGTACAGAGGCCCACCGGCAGTGCAGACTCTGAGCAAGGAGGCCCCTCTTCTGGGGTCCTTCTCAGGCTGCACCGCCGTCGGGGTCCACGGCCTGCTGGCCCTGCCTGTAATGCTCAGCCCCAGTTTGTGCTCACAGGCGCGGTCCTGCCTGGACCAAGCATCCCTGCTGCACGGCGAGCCTCAGTGGGGGGCTGGTCTGGCCAAAGCTGCTTGGTCTCCCTTGTCCTCCAGCCTCCAGTGCACACCCAGGGCCGTGGGTGCCAGGCGTGGGGCAACAGAGGCCCGGCCCAGCCAGGGGGCGCAGAGACCACGGTGAGGGCGTGAGAGCCGAGGACCAGCCAGGCCGGGGGACCTACACAGGGAACGGGACTGACCGGATCCCTCGGTGCCACACAGGGACGCCCTTCCTGTGGCCTGGACCTCCCTGCCCCTGCCGTCCAGCAGACTGAGCCACGCTCCTGTGCAGGGTGTGGGGCAGTGGGAGGTGGTCAGCGGCCAGCCTGCACGGTCCCGTCTGGAGATGCCAGCACGGTCCGGGCTCGCTGGTGCCCCTACGCCCGCTTCCCGAGGCCTGAGGCACAGCCGACGCAGCGCTGTGTGTGTGGCTGCTGAGGTGACGGGAGCGTGTCCCGAGCGCAGGACACAGGCGGGGGCACGGCCCGGGACAGGAGATGTGGCAGGAAGTCGCACTGCGGCCCAGGTGCGGCCCTGCTCTGCAGAGCTAGAGTAGGACTGTCCCCATCAGACGCCGGGGGGCGGGGGCCAGGAGGGCAGCTGGGAGGCTGGAGCCCAGTGTGGCCCACGGGTTCTGTCCGCACGTCCACACTCGGCTCCACACGAGACCGTCGCCAGGGAGAGCGGGGGGACTGCAGCCCACACTCAGACCCTCAGCCTCACGGTGGAGGTGCCCGGGGGCCCAACCCAAGCCTGACAGGCAGCCCTGCGGAGCCCCTAAACCTGCAGGTGCCCGGGGGATCCCGAGATCCAGACGCGGTGGGCCAAGCTGCCACGGCCCCTCAGACGTCACGCGTCTGCCACAGGTACACGCGTGTCCCCGCCTGCCTGCCCCCGTCTGGCTTGCCAGAGACGACCCGGCCATTCCCGCTGTCGTTCACACACTCAGTGGCCGTCACTGAGCCCCCAGAAGAGAAGGTGCCACAGGCGGGGTGGCGCGCCCTCAAGCTGCCAGCTTTCACTTTCGATGTAATTTTATCTCAGGAGCGTCTTAGGTTCAAGTAAATAATAAAAAGAACCCGGTCTGCCGTCTCACTTCCCCTGCAAAGCAGGGCCCCGAGCTGTTCTGAGGACGCAGCGGTCCCCTAGCAACTATCTTTGTTCAGTAAACAAGCAGCACCGGGCGCCAGCCCAGGATGCCCGCCCTGTCACACGGCTGCCTCGCCGGTCCTGCAGCGGGAGGGCGGGGCCCCCGCGGAGCTGCCTCCCCCCCGCCGCCCGGGTCCCAGAGGAGCCCCACCCCGGCCGGTGCTTTCCGCACGCCGAGGGCGGCCAGGCTCCTGCGCGGTGACCCCCACGCTGCTCCTGCAGCCTTGCTGACGCTTCCCTGTCTCCACCGGGCCCACGGAATGCCACACGCGGCCCTGACCCGGGACCCTGCCCTCCCTGCTCCTGGGTCCCTGCAGGCGCCGAGGGACGCTGGCGCCCCCTAGTGGCCATAGCATGGCGCCCCAGTGCGGCTGCCGTGGCCTGAGGAACATCGCTGGGGCAGTGGCGGGTCTGGGGGGCAGGAAACTGGACCAGAAAACATGTCCTGAAGGTCGTCTGAGCTCTGAACAGACAGGGACGCCATCCTGCATCCACCGCTGGGACAGGCAGGAGGGGGCCACACAGACTGGGTGCTGAGCCACCCAGAGGCAAGGGGCCCACCAGGGGACCAGGCCTCTGGGAAGAAATGGCCGTCCATGTGGGACGGGGTGCACTTGACCCCGGGGCTCCTTGCTGTGCGCAAAGCAGGTAAGCGCTCACAGTGGCTACTGGACAAAGCACCCGGGGACATTCAGAAAGGCTCCAAGGGCCAAGACTCAGCTAAGTTTTGGGTCAAAAGAGAATGAAGACACAGCATCATAGCCAGCACATAAGCAAAGACCCACAGGTGAGGCTGAACGGTGTCCCCAAAAGATGGTGAAGTCCTAACCCCAGGAACTGTGGATGATTTTACTTGAAGGTGGGGTCTTTGCAGACGATCAAGTTAAGATGAGGTCCTTATGGTGGGTCCTGATCTCACAGGACTGGTGTCCTTAGAAGAGGAGAAGATCAGGCCTCAGACACGCACAGCGGGACAACCCTGTGAGGACGCAGAGGTGGCGGCATCTAAAGCCAAGGGATGCCTGAGGCCACCAGAGCTGGGACAGGTCCTGGGAACTTCAGAGGCAGCAAGGCCCTGCCAAACCAGCTTGGACCTCTGGCCTCCATCTTTGTGCCTCTGTGCCTCTGTGTGTGTGACAGAGCGGGTGCCCATATGTGTGGCTGGTTTGTGACTTGTGCAGTGTATGTATATTTGTGTGTGTGTATCTGTGTGTTTGTAGGTCTGTGTGTGCTTGCACCTACGGGGAAACTCACAGCTTCAGATACGACAAAAAGAAAAAAGGTCTAAAATCAATGGCCTAAGTTTCCACCTCAAGAAGGTAGAAAAAACAGAACTTCCCTGGTGGTCCAGCGGGTAAGACTCTGCGTTTGATCCCTGGTTGGAGAGCTAGATCCTGCATGCCGCAACTAAGAGTTCACTTGTTGCAACTAAGAGATCCCACGTGCCACAATGAAGATCCCACGTGCCACAGCAAAGACCTGGCACAGCCAAAATAAATAAATAAATAGATAAAAATCAATCTTAAAAGAAAAAAAGAAGGTAGAAAAAGAGGAAATTAAAGCCACAATACGTTGGAAATAAATAGTAAAAATAAAAGTCCAAAAGCAGACTCTTTGAATAATCGATAAAAGCGATAAACCCTAGGAAGACTGATGCCCCACTGCTGAGTGGCATCACGACAGATCCTACAGGTAACAGGAAATAGTGCGAATAATTTTATTCCAAGAAATTTGACAATTTAGACAAAATACTAAAATTTCTTGAAAAACATGACTTGCCAAAACAGAAGATGAAACAGAAAAGCTGAAGAGCTCTTTTCCTATTAAGGAAATTGATCATCGCAAACATTATCACAAAGAAATCTATCTCTATGACCTCGAGGGGCAAAAAATGGGCCTCATCTGAGTGAGAGGCACTCCAAGCAGATGCCCTGGTTTTTCTGACTGATTGAGGCTCAGGGGGGCCTTTGGGGCTCAGGGGGGCCCCACCTCTGCAAAATGACAAGTGTCAATCTTGGTAACTTCCCATGGGATTTTTAAGGTGAGATAAGAAGAATGGTGGTGTGGAGACAAAAGTCTTCGTCAGATGCAAACTGGGGCATTCCAGTGAAATTTCATGATGTCTGGGATTTTTAAAGATACTCAGTGTATGTGTGTGAGCTATGAAACAACACTGGCAAAATCTTAACTGTTGAAGCTGAGTACCTGGTAGTTGGGGTCCATCACACTGTTCTCTCCACTTCTTCAAAACTGAAAGACGCCATGATAAGGGGCTGGGAGGCCCCGGGAGACAGAGGGCCCTTCTTGGTCCTGCCACCTCCCTCGCGCCCGAGCCCCACCACTTACACGCACCTGGCCAGGGGCATGGGGCAGCCTAGGAGAAGAGGCAGGCAGTGTAGCCACAGGTGAAAACACCCCACTCTTAGAAGCTGGTTCCAACACCCACTTCGCAGCAGCCCAGCCTGTCCACTGGCTGTAATGTGTGGCGACCCTCACTGTGAGGGCCGGGGTTCCTGGTGGAGTCCCGCGCCACCCTGACGCCCACCCTGACGCACACCCCAGCATTCAGAGCAGACGTCTCTCGCCCAGAACACAGCCACCCCAGGTTATCACAGACGGCAGCGCCTCGGCTCCACATACTTCACACTCGCGGGGGCACGCGAGCTCTTCAAGTCCTTATTAAAACCCATCATTCCTCTTGGACAACACAGACTGACTGCTTAGCCATGGTTGGGAAAGTGCGTGGCCCGTCTGCGGCTCCCCCACTCCTGGGGTCTCTGTCTACCCGGGACCCTCCCACCCCTGCTGCCGGCTGGGCACCCTCTCCCTGCCCCAGCACTGGTGGGCATTTGTAGCCCAGACCCCGAGCCAGCGGCTGCCTGGAGGACAGCTGTGGGGTTTCCAGCACTGTGACAGTGGGAGCCGGGGCAGAGGACAGGTCTGACCACCTCCAAGGGCGGCCTGGAGCCAGGCCTGCTGGAGGCCCCTCTGGGAGCCCCGCCCCCCCTTAGACGACAGCAATGCCCCCAGTCAAAGGATACACTGTAGGCAATGTATCTCCACTCGGGTGGCAGGAGGGGAATGAAGATGCCAAAGGTGGTGAAGACCAGAATGAGGAACACGATCCAGGCCACGATCTGCAAGTAGTGGACGGGCTGCGACCAGCCACTCACCCTGGACCGCTGGGGGGGCACAGTCTTTGTGCTCCTCCTGGACGCGGTTCCTGGCAGGAGAAGCCTCGAGATCCTGGCCCAGAACGCCATCTGCAAGACAGGACGGGGCATGGCAGGCCATGGGCTCCTGCCCTCGTGGCCCGGGGACTCTGGGGGCGGGACCCACGGCCCAGCATCGCCCGGGGCCCCGGTGACATCACAGCTGCGGAAAACAGCTCTTGGGGGGGTGTGGCCCCCTGGATGAGGAACGAAGGGCACCCCCCTACCCCCCACCATGACCGCAGGGCGGGCAGCTACCAGCCCCTCATGGCCTGGGGGCCACTTGCAGCAATGAGTCCGGGGGCTGGTTTACAGATGCACACGCCCCATCAGAAGACTCATGGGATATGGGGACCCGGTGAGGAGAAGGCCCCCGCCCCCGGGGAAACCGAGGGCTCATGGGATACGGGGGACCCGGTGAAGAAAAGGTCCTCGCCCCCGGGGAAACCGAGGGCTCATGGGATACGGGGGACCCGGTGAGGAGAAGGCCCCCGCCCCCGGGGAAACCGAGGGCTCATGGGATATGGGGGACCCGGTGAGGAAAAGGTCCTTGCCCCCGGGGAAACCGAGGGCTCATGGGATATGGGGGACCCAGTGAGGAAAAGGTCCTTGCCCCCGGGGAAACCGAGGGCTCATGGGATACGGGGGACCCGGTGAGGA